TATATAAATAAAAAAACGTTACTTGGTAAGGCTTCTAAAATGATGATTTTGCACAAGTGACCGCCCGAAAATACTCGTCTATGTGATCTTTGTACGACTTCTCTTCCAGTTACTATTTTGATAAGTGTTTACAGTTCAATGATTTCTGACACCTTCCATGAACTAGGAAGAAACGTTAGGAAAACTGTAGCAAGTCGTATTTCTTTTAATAAAAAAAATCCCCGGATATTAATAAAAATGCTTGAAACGTCTGTTCTAAATATTTTCCAGTTCCCATTATATAATTACTCCTGTTCTGTAGCAAAGCAAAAATTATTAATTAGTGTCGTAAAATTACTGTTTTAAGAAAAATATCTTTCAGTTTCTGTATCGTATAAAAGAGTAAGTATTTTAACGTTTATGTTTTTTATTCGTTTGTAAATTATGGTATATTTTTGAGCATTAAAACAAACTTAGCGGCAAAAGAACCCACATTTTATTTTCCTTGAAAATCTGAATACAAGTAATGTTTTATACTTATTCTCGGTAATCAGGTGTGGCATGGCAAGGCCAAAAAAAAGTAGTTTTTTATGCTAGTTAACCCTAAGATTAATTACTAAACGTATCTAAGAAAATTTATAGGAATGCAATAAACTTCACGAAACACGACCTTATTTAGTTGAATAATGTAGACTATAATAACCAAATATACATGTATATATGTATACGTTTACAGAAGATAAGCTATTTTCGCTTGCTTTAATTCGTTTTGTTGCAAGAAAAAAAAACGTATTTCTTGCAAGTAACCATTCAAAGAAATTAGCCATATATCTATGATTATACTTAATAAAAACACCCCTTCATTGGTTAACCATCCGATATTTTCATACTTTTTCAAACAGGAAAAGTAAACGTTTGTAATGTTATAAATATAACTTTAGTTAAGGATGACAAATAATATTTAATCTCTAAATAGGGCGACAAAGAAATGTCCTTTCTGCATTGTGGCTAAAGAATTACAAGTTTGAGATGGCGATGCAAGGTTGTCATTTCAGTCCAATTATTCCATAAATCAGCATGAGAAATGATGAAGAATTGTCCCTGAGAATCATGAGAACAACTCTTAATCGAATTAATAGTCGAATGTCGTTCATCATTGAATGGCTTGATCCATTTTTCTTTGCTATTCGTAGCCACAACTCAAAGACGTTATTTGATTTTATGTATGATCTTCTGAAACCCTGGAAAAGACACTGGATGAATCTTCTGTGGAACAAGTGTTTTGCGCAAGACAGCCATTAGTTATTTCAGGACATCATTATATTTCAAAAATGAGTCCTAGTTACATAGGATACACTAGATTTCTACGAAATTTTACTACTTCCAGGAAGATTGTTCTCTCCATTTGTGAGGACTTTATTCCTGTGGACTGATTATTATAGACTTTGTTTTGTACCATGTTTCTCTGATTTTTGAAACTTGTAAGTTTGAAAAAATCAAAAACTTAAGAGTCCAATTATTTCATTCGTTGTGAACAAATCAATGTATTGGTTATTTCTGATAACTTGGATTTCTCTGTCCACATAACAATAAAACATACATTACATTAACGTAAAACTGTGCCTATATTATATCTGACTATTGAGAAATATAGAAAACGTTACTGTATTTTTTTTTGATAACTAACAACTATTGAACACAGGCAGATATCATACTTTTATTAATGTTTAATTTATTGATGGTGACTGGACATATTATTAAAGTGCCCATTGTAGAAATGTGACCTTGTTACTGCTTATTGCAGAAGACATATATTTGGTATAATTTCGTTAATACTACATTATTAACTCTTATTATCTCTATGAAGATAGAAAAGTCGCATTTCTAAGAGTTTTCTATTGTTTTAGTTTTATTAGCGCTGAACACAGAGGACTTGTAACCAAAATAAGTGTACGATTTAAGCCTTATTACCTCTTGAAATATTGGAATTGAGGGTTGGATGACTGTGATAGTTTAACTTTAATAAGGTTGATTAGAGAAAGCATGTAAATAACATTACTATAACCATGTAACTTTATTGCATATAACTATAAAAGCATAAAATGGCTCAGATGTGGCAATGAAACATTAATGTTTTTGTTATACATTATATTCGATTAGTATCGCTGTGATGATGTATTTATATAAAGATAATGTCGGTTTCATAACAGATAAGATGTGGCTAAAACAACGTTGAATACAGAACGTATCAGAAGTACTATAGTTCAAACATTACTGAATACAAAGAGTATACGACAACAAGCATGTAGCACATTAGAAGGTATTATAACACTAAGAAAGATAGGAATTTTAAAATACCAGTAAGAACTGTATGAATAAGTTTAGTGATTTAGTATCGTTATATTACAATATCATGGTCACCAATCGTGTGATCCGTTATGTCAGTGTTTACCCAGGCCTACTATCCGAGTGCTTATGAGATTGATCTGTTCGTGGAGTAGGTTTCTGTTTAATTATTGATGAGTTTGATCCACTTAAAGGGAGGCATTTCGACTGAAAAACAAAGTTATGTGTTTCTGGAAAATGTTGTTTCCTCGTCAGCGTGCAGTTGAGTTTCTTAAAACGCTATCGACTCGGTTTCGTTTATGAGGTTTTGGGAAGTTGAACATCCATAAATCCAATCAACAAGATGAGAGTAACTCGGATCTATTCAGTGTGTAGGAAGTTTAGATACAACAGATAAAAACTCTCTAAGAGTTACCGTTACCATGGAAGTGAGCTACGTTCTTATAACTAGAGTTTCAAATTTTAAAATGATTCACGTTTCTTGTATCTAACCTTATTATTGGATTTACTTTACCATGACCGCTCTAAAACATTTTCTAGCCCGAAATTAAATGAAAAGTAAATTCTTAGGCGTCGTATTGCAGCAAAGTGTTCCCACTTTCATCTTTTGGGAGTTTTTTTTTTATTTCCTTATTTCTAATGGCTTAAGTAAAGCCTAGTTTTATGCTTGAACCAAGAAGTTAATCTCGAAATGTTTTACTCATACAATAAACTGAGTTCATTAAGAAACCTCACCTACGCATTCTTCGGCATTTCAATGTCCAGTGTATGTAACCATAGACCCGCTACTATCATATATCATGCTAGGATTATTTCGTGAATGGCTATAAAAAACGCTTGTAATAAATTGTAAAGTATGGATGCAACATAAGGGTAAAAAGTAAGTTATAATCTTGGTTTTGAGAATACACGTCTTAATGAGAAAAAAAACAAAAACTATCTTTTATTCGCTTCAGAACAATTAAATGAACTAACTTACGAATAATGTTTCATGTAGAAGATGAACATAAAATGGAAAATGTCACTGAGAATACATCTTTAATATAATACTTTCTTAATTACGTTAGAACAAAATACTTGCGGTATTGTATGGAGTACATCTACTTTTAACTCTGGAGATTTTCCATTCAATTAACATTTAGCTCAGATGAATCTTGGACTGATCATTGCTGTGTGTGTTTTTCTGTAGTATTTTTTTTTCATTAATTTCACTTATTCAAATGCTCCCCAGTGGAACAGCGGTATGTATGGGAATTTACAACGCTAGAAACCGGGTTTCGATACCCGTGGTGGGCAGAGCACAGATAGCCCATTGTGTAGCTTTGTGCTTAACTTCAAACTTAACCCGATCTTATTCGAATAAAGAACTGAATGAATAATTGTAATCACTGGTTAAGATATGTAACTATAATGTTTATAATATTAACATTTTCAAATAAAAAAAAAGATAGGTGAAAAAGAAAGCCGGGACTTGAACTTGGAACCTCTGGCTGATAAGGCCATTGCTTTATCTCTGAGCTGTCTAAGATTAAAACTCATTCTTCACAGTTTACAATGTCAGAGCTCTATACTACGTCATGGTAGGTACAAATACCAAATTATATGCAGTCTATTGACAACAAATCATACGAAGAAGTCGGTTTAAGTCTATTTCGCTTATCGAAATACGTGTTATCGATTTTTTACTTAAAAATATTTAATACTAGCAGATGCTCTTAAAACGATTCTAAGGTAATTTTCCAGAAAATAGTGATGAATATATATATATATAATGTGTAGTCACCCCGACCCCTTGGATCTGAGAGTATGTTCAATATAATTGTCTACTGAACCGTTTACAGCCGTTATTATGTGTTATTTCGATAGGGAAATACTGCCTTTCGTTTGTTCTTAAACAAAGGAGACCGACTACGATGCATTGTAAGTAAAATGTTTGGGTTTTGATTCAATGGGGGCATCTCGCATAATAAAGCGCTCAAGTTCGTTCAGTAACCACGGAATTTTTTTCCGTTAGATGCCACCGTTCCTTGTTCTTTTACTGAGCTAAAGAAAAGACAGCTACCGAAGTGATCACTTTTTAACAATTGTCATTTCTATAAGTGTCAAAGGGAAGATATTCAAATCATTTTTTTAGACATTTTACAATAAAATCGTGCACGCATATAATGAAATGGAATTATATATAACAAATATATAATCAAACATGTTCCTCTCTTTATGCGTTTTTTTTCATGAAACAAGAGGGAATCCTCAATAGCCGCAGCACTTGAAATTCTTTTAGACGGGATTACAGTAAATTTATCTGTGAGACCTTTTCTTCCTTTTTATTAGCTATATCTTTGTATGCTAGCAATACCAAGCTTATACTCGATTGAATTTTATTATTCACCAGGATCTCTACCAGCCTACCCTCAAATTGAAATTCTTTTAGGCAGGATTAGAGTAAATTAATCTATGAGACCTTAGGCAAGGTCAAATAAATCAATCGAAGTGGTTTGACCTACTGAGTCGAAGACCGTAATTAGATCTTAAATAGGTCAAGAGATGACGGAGTTATGAGCTAAAACTCTGTACTTGAAAAAACAAAAAAGAATAACTCAGAGCCGTTCTATGAGCCGCTATGCCGCGGCTGAAAATGAATAATTCTCCTTTAACTTACTATTGAAAATAAATATTTTGATATATGTCTGTATTTTTTTTTCTGGACGATTAACCGTTCAGGAGATACAATGTGTGACAGACAGACATTTGGCTGTTATATATAAAATATTATTATCGTTTCCTAACAGATTTAAAATATAAAAAGAAAATATTTCACTGTTATGTTTATAACAATGCAATACAACCATAGAATCTTAAGATTAAAGTGGTATAAAACAACAATTGTTCACAATTATCTTCTTTAAAGCATTCGGATTTCGATACCTGTGAGGGCAGAGAAAGGATAGCCCATTGTATACCTTTGTGCTTAACAATAATCAAACCAAACTGTGACAAACTGATCTAATATAATTAGTTTTGTTTAATCATTTTTTCCACAAATTAAAATAGTATTTCATTCAACCTCAATGAGATTTTAATTTTATGTTTAGTGATTTTAACGCCTATTTTCAACCTCGACTTGTGAAGCTATATTTTTAAACTGCCTCGGTTGTTAGGGGCTCACATCGCTAAAGCCTTGGTTTCGATACCCGTAGTGGGCACAACACAGATAGCCCATTGTGTTGCTTTGTGCTTAACAACAAACAAAATATAACAGCCAAGCGCGGCCATTGGTTAGTGTGTCGGACTGTGGATCTGAATTTCCGTGGTTCACGTCCCGTTATCGCCTTCCCCCCCCCCAAAAAAAAACAACAACAACAAACAAATAAATTGCGCTCCTTCCTTTATGACCATGGGTGCACTCTAAGAGTGATGGTCAAATTCTACTATTCCATTAGAATAATTTACGAGTGGGCGGTGAGGTGTGTTTAATAGTTGTCCTTAGGTTATCACTTCAAAATTAAGTACGGCTAGAACAGATAGCCTCGAGTAGCTTTGCGTGAAATTCAATAATAGTAACAACATCAAAATGTGAAACGGTGGATACTAACGATACACCTCACGCAGCAACATATATTTGTCACTTCCAGCGCAATGATTATGGGTGTTTACTAACGTGATATATGTCTGAGCTTCAAGTTCTAGGGAAACAAATGGAATATGAACATTTTAGGATCACAGATTACCCAACTTTTTTTTACCAAGAAAGGATTGTAACTGTCAGACATTTGAGCACCATAAACCTGGTAATAATTACACGAACCATATTTTAGAATTCACGTAATTTACTAGGAAGTAACACAACTTGACTTTGATATGAGTACTTATGGAAGCTGTTATGGAGTACTGTAAAAGAGAAAGCCGAAATTAGGTAAAATAATCTATTGACGTCTATAAATAACTTTAAAATATAAGAATGAAACATAAAACACCTTAATTGTCACGTGGTAAGCATTTATCTCACTGAAACAAGCTGCCAACAATGTGAGGATATAATGAATGAATTTATTGTCTTAATTTCCTTTTTAAGTTCTAAATTGGCGTTCTCTTGAACTGTACTGAGTAGTTGTTAGTCTAAATGTAATATATATATATATATACACGCACACACCCCTTTTTGTTCATTAGACCAATGACTATTGAATACAGTTCGTGCCCGGGATGGCCAGGTGGTTAGGTCGTTCAACTCGCAATCTGAGGGTCGTAGGTTCCAAACACCGTCCCACCAAACATGCTCGCCGTTTCAGCCGTAGCGGCGTTATAATGTTACGATCAATACCACTATTCATTGGTAAAAAGAGTAGCCCAAGAGTTGACGGTGGCAGGTGATGACTAGCTGCCTTCCCTCTAGTCTTTCACTGCTAAATTAGGGACGACTAGTACAGATAGCCCTCGTGTAGCTTTGCGCAAAATTAAAAAAGAAAGAAAAGAGTACAGTTCAGAAGAAAGCCGGTTCAGTGATGAACTTTATGAATAGTTTGTGTAGTGTCGAAATGTGGTCGATCAATTGAAAAAAAGATATTTCATATTATCATCAAGTTTTTATGTTAAACATTTTGATTTGGTGTTCTAAACTTTTTGATTAAAATATTTAAGTATAGTTATCTTTGTTAAGGTTTTAGATTTTTCTATTGCTAAAAATCTCCAGCTATAACGATGAATTATTCACATGCAGTACAAATGTAAAAGACTGGTGATCTAGTACGGTATATAATTTTTATTCTAGGGCTAGTTTTTGTGCGTACTTTTATCAATCTTTGATTCGTTTTGTTTTTCAAAATAATTATTTACACCTAGTTATTCTACTTTAGCAATCTAATGGGAATTGTCTATTCTTTGTTTCTAGAAACAAGGCCTTCGAATGAAGTGTACGGCTTGTAAAATTTCAGCTCACCTCGGATGTATCGGTACCCTTGTTGATAAGGTAAACAAAAGTATGCTTTAACTGTGGACATGTTTTATATGTAAAATATTACAACTAGGAATCGGTTGATTTTGAGAGTGTATTTAGGTGGTGTTTCGATGAACATGTCACTAAAGTCCCAAAGGAATACCGAATGAGGAACCATCCTTCAAAACATGTCAATATAATAACCATATTTTGTAAAATACTACGTAGTTTACTGACTAAAATATATCTGTCTCTACATAACTTTTAAATAATAACTACTGTAATATATCTAGATCCGTATTTTAATATCTTTCAGAAGTTCTGCTGCAAGCCAACGTTTAAGGATGTTGGGGTCAGGCAGTACAGAGAAGTAAGACAATTTATGACAATACAATTTTGGGAATTTCAGAACTCTGAATTTTGATTTTTTTCTGAATATTTATCTCTTACTCGTATTTCATTTAATTATATCAAAGGGCAGTAGATTAATCTTTAAGAAAATAAAAATTAGTTGTTGTTTTTTTCTTCTATTTTTGAATAGTTTAATGTGTTTACATATATCTATATATCTTTTTTTTTACTTTTGTTGTCACTGTCTTGCTTCAGTTTTGATTGTGATGTTGATATTTTCCTAACTAGCAAACAGTGATACATCACCATTGGGTTCACCGGCGCAAGCAGAAAGGTCGATGTAGACATTGTGGAAAGGTGAAAAAATTTATATTGGTAGCTAGAAAAATCATACTGTAAATACTTGAAAAGAATGGGAAAATGTGTGTGCAGGTTTCTAAGTTAAGTTTACTGATTAGAAGGTCGTACTGTGTATATATATATATATATATTTCATGATTAAGATTAGATTTTTAAATTCTATATGTTTCATGTTAACATTAAACAGTTTAATAGGTCATTCTGCAAACATTGAGAACGGTGGAGAATTTTTAAACAAACTTTTAAGTTACGATTAGACTCTTAGGAAGACCATACACTAAACTAGAGTGGTACTCAGTTGAGCGTATAACTCCGTCCAAATACATACCAATTTTCGTTCAAATCAATTCAGTCGTTTTTGAGAATTTAAGTTATGATGTGGAATACTTTCAGTTACGTAGAATTCGGAATGTTTAAAGAAGCTGCGGAGAAACTGATTTTATAAGAAATGTTACGATCGAACCCTTTAAACTTGCATAACAATGGGAAAGTTTTGTACAGATTTCTAGGACCAGGATAGGGCTTTGAAATAATAATAATAGAAAGTTTGGTTGTCACGATATTCAACTACTTGCTACGAAGTTTAATGGGGGTTCAACATACATTTAGTTTCTTACAGACTTGGGCAATTTGCAAAATATTTAAAGTTATATATCTAAAAGCTATTTATCACTGGTTTGTATTTTCCTTGAAATTAAGCTTAATACTAGGATTCTGTTCTTCCTTTTCACTTTAAAATAATCTGTAGTCTTTCAAATGCTCATGAGTAAAACGCAGACGTTCAAATCACACTTTAAAATTCAGTAACATGAACAGTAAGATAGTACATGTTTTCACTTCTTTGTGTTTGTTTGTGTGTGTGGTTGTCAGCAAGATTTCTCGATTTGGACGAAAGTTGGTGTACATTTGGGTTATGACTCAACTTACAAGGGATTAGTTTTTGTAGGGTCAAGATCAAAGGTCAAGGTCACGAAAATAAAAAATCCCTATCTGTTAACATGGGGACTGATTTTTTACATTATTTTTGCTCTATAATTCAGTCAAAAATGATCATATTTTGATAAAACTTGGTGGATTTATATAGAATATTATTCCTCATTGTCCTGCCAAAATTGGTCCGTGTCAGTTGATAACTACGGACATACGGACACATTTTTGTATTTTTTGAGAGCTTAATATGATCAAGGCTACGTGGCGGAGGTATGCGCTCTACTGAGTGCCCTCTAATTGTTGAGTGTGATACTGATGAACTAAATTGTCTGTCTCTTAATACAATGTAGTGCTTTATTTGTTAAAATGGCGTACTTGTAATGCACTTTTAAAAGTTGTCATACACGAATACTTTGTGTTTTGTTGTTATAAATCATTCTTGATATAAAGATATTTCTTTAAGCTTCAGTTAAATTATTTGTTACCCAAATTCTCTGTTTATTATTATTTTTAGAAAAGTTCTGTTACTTTTAGTGTTAACATGGTAAACATGCAGTTCATCTCAGTACAACACGAACGTAAGTGCCACTTTATAAGTTTTGTAAAATTGGTAAATTAATACTATAGTTTAGGTTATTAACTGATTTTATGCCAGTTCATACTTAATATTTTACAATTCTGTAATATAATGACATCAGACAAAGTGTGTATTCAGTGTTATAATCTTGCTTTTTTTTACATCATAATGTTTTTTGTTGTTTTTTTTTAAATCAAAACAAAACATTTCCACAACCGACGACCTTATTTCAATAAAAAATCTTCATTATCATAATCTATTTTTAAGATTTACTATGGTTTAATTATCTTTACAGGCTTTTCAGTCCAAGCTGTCATTCGGCAACAAGGTGAGTTCCGAATTTATATTATTTTATTATTAAAAATAGTTATCCACTCTTCAGGTTGCTCTAGTTTAATTTACATGAATTAGTTTGGTGTTTTCACGCTAGGTTTCTCGGAATCAAATATTAACATTAACAAGACGTGAAAAGAACAACTGCTTCCTTAAATTCATTATTGGTAATAGTTAGAGAAATTACCACAACTTGTCTACTTATAAAATGATGGTGTCAATAGGAACGTACATTATTTATACCTTGTATACCTTTTGTGTTGATGTTTTGTGCTTTCTTTGTGATAACGTTTGCCACCATTAACTTATAAGTGCATATATTTTAGTAATGCGAAACTACCCCACTGATCATTAAGACTTGCTCCCCCGTCCCGATAACTCAGCAGTAAATCTGAGGGCTTATAACGCTAAAAATCGGGTTTCGTTACTCACGATGGGTAGAACACAGATAGACTTGTGTAGCTATGCGCTTAACAACAAACAAAAATTAAGCCTTGTTTTTGACATAGCACTCAGTTACGTACTAATTATTTAGATCTATAAAAAGTGAAAGAAAACACTTCGTTTTTGCATTATCCTGTTTTTTGTTTGTTTCTTCATGTGTTTCTCCAACGAACTGATATAAAATATGAGCACAATTCAATATTTATTCATAAATACACTTGCTCTGTGTAGTGTTTAACCCGAGATTAGCAAAGTGTGGTTCTAACATACAATGTTTACTTATAGAAGAAGTCCTGGATCCTACATTAGTCATGAACTTGACTTTACGGAATTTATAAAATGTTTATGACCTCTTGGACCCATGGCGGTCACACAGACACGCACGTGCGTGTCTGTCTGTTTTTCGCTAGCTTGACTCACGAAAATATGCGCATGCGTTCAAGCACGTTAATTAATAATACCCAGGTGCTCATCCTCAGGGTCCACTTAGTATGGGTGCAAAATTTCAGTTTTCTAGGTTCTTTCCCCTTGGAACTATGGCGGTCACATTTCTTTTCTATGTGGTTTCTCGCATAAAAAGATACGCACGTACGTAGATAAGTAATAATACCCAGGTGCTCACCCTAAGGGTCCACTTAGTATGAATGCAAACTTTCAGGTTTCTAGGTTCTTACCTCATGGAGATATTGCAGCCACACAGTGGCACACACACATACGCACGCACATGTGTGTCTGTCTGTTTGTGATTTCTATTTGCAAGGAACAATTTCTTTTTTATGTTGTTTTTTGCCAGCTTGCATCATTAAAAAGATGCATACGTGCACGCACGTGGATACGATAAGTAGTATAATACCCAGGTGCTCACCCTCAGGGTCCACTTAGTGTGGGTGCAACATTTCTAGTTTCTATGTTCTTTGTTCTTAGAGCTATGGTGGTCACATATTCTTTTCTATGTGGTTTTTAGTTTCCTTACCTCACAAAAAGATGCACACGTAGATAAGTAACAATACCCAGGTGCACACCATCAGGACTTTGTATGTGTCCACAATTTCAGGTTTCTAGATTCGTTCCTCTTGGGTTATGGTGATCACACACACAGACCCACACATACACCCTTGTATTATTATAGATAGAAATCACAAACATGCGTGTCATATATCCAAGAGGAAAGAACCTAGAAACTTGGAATTTTGCACCAATACTAAGTGGACCCTGAGGGTCTGCATCTGGATATTATTACTTATCCACATGCGTGCGCGCATGTGCTTGCACGTCTTTTTAATGAGGCAATCTAGCGAAAAACCACATAGAAAAGAAGTGGTTCCTTATATAATAACTTCTAATATATAGAAAGGCCAGTGCATTTTTGTAATAATGCGCTCCAACAATGGCTTTTATTATCATGTTGCTTAGCAATAAAAGTATAATCTACTATTGTTTTTAAGAGTTTATGTTCTGAAAGTATAAAATGAAATGTATAAACTACAAAATTGAAAAAATATTTGTTGTTTTTTTAATTTAGAGGCTCCGTTAATTAAAGAGGTGTGTTTATTATTATTTAAGTTTAAAATCGGAGGACAAGTCAGAGGGAAGGTTACCTTTATAAACAGGCCACATCCCGTAAATGAGTAACAAAAGTACATAGGTTATAGTTTATGCTAAAATGGGTTCAGAATACACACATTGACATAATCATTTAGAATAAGTCAACCTAATAACCCGAGCGAAGGTGGTTTCTTTCACTAGTTTGTAGTATAAGGAATCACTTCTTTTCTATGTGGTTTTTTGTTAGATTGCCTCATTAAAAAGATACGCACGTGGTTAAGATGAGTAATAATACTCAGGTGTAGACCCTCAGGGTCCACTCAATATGGGTGCAAAAGTTCAGGTTTCTAGGTATTTCCTCTTGGAACTATGGCAGTCACACAGACACGCAGGTGCATATGCACACAAATGCGTGTCTGCCTGACTGTGATTTCTGTTTGTAATATAAGTAACCACTTTTTTTCTATGTAGTTTTTCAATAGCTTGCCTCATTAAAAAAAGATGTGTATGCGCTCGCGCATGTAGATAAGTAATAATACCCAGGTGCACACCCTCAGGGTCCACTTAGTATGGGTGCAAAATTTGAGGTTTCTAGCTTCTTTCCTTTTGGACTAATGTCAGTCAAACACACAGAACCGCTCTTTTATTATTATAGATAACGTGTACTAATAAGAATACTAAGGAATTCTAAACAGTAACAACTGTTCATGCATTATCGAAGGTAAAAATCATTCACAACAAAATATTATTTCGGAAACATTAGAAAACCTTATAAGACTTATTTTGAGATCAAAACAAAAAAAACATGTCCTGTTAAAGTATGTCCGAATTCCCGTCCCATCAAACATGCTCGCCATTTCAGCCGTGGAGGCGTTATAATGTGACGGCCAATCCCACTATTCGTTGGTAAAAGAGTAGCCCAACTGTTGGAGGTGGGTGGTGATGACTATCTGCTTTCACTCTAGTCTTTCACTGCTAAATTAGGGACGGCTAGCGCAGATAGCCCCCGTATCGCTTTGCGCGAAATTCGTCGTAAACTCCTGATGTAAGTTATCTTACAAGCTAACAAAAAATAATTAGTACAAATGCTTTTAGTTCTCTGCAAGGGAATTCGAAATTTTACATTATCATATTTGTTAATTTCATTGAGTCAAGATTACTGGATTGACAATTGACAATGCCTTTTAACACTGTGGTCTAATGCTTCGTACTTAAAGTTAGAGACGTTTAAACTGAGCTTAGCTAATAACTAAGAATTAGCATCTAATTACATTAAAAGACAGTTTTCTATTTTAATCTTTGTTTTGCAAAATGTGTGTAATAGTACTGGAATTTGGTAGAGGAAAATCGTCAGTTATGTTTTTTCTCGTATTTTGTAATTATTTAAAGACCAGCTCGAGTACCCATCCGTGAAATAGAAACTCGTTTGTAACAAAGGATAGGAATAATAAACATTAAAAGTGCAATAAAAATACATAAAGGTACCAATACTGAAAAGAAGAACATACTGTTTTCAAGAATTCTATCAAAATGAAATTAGATGGAGGGTCCAATCCTCCCCCTTCCTGCTGATTTGGTAGTTTTCTGAAATTAGATTGGGGATTGGGTCCAAACCCTTCCCCTCATGACCTTTCCCATATCATCCTGTTTCACTGTGTCAAGTTGGGTGCTGATTGATCAAGAAATATGGAAACGTATAAGGAACAGATATGAAATGATGGATCCTCCGGTGGGACAGCGGTAAATCTTCGGATTGACATTTCTGTAATCAGGGGCTCGATTCCCCTCGATGGACACAGCAGATAGCCCGATGTGGGTTTGCTCTCAGGAAACACACACGCACATAAAATGATAGATATACTATCGTGTATATTTTTCCCGGGCACACACTTTGCTTTATATAGTAAGTGAATAAAATAATTAAATTCTAATTTCAAGTTTAAATGCTGTTTCTTTTCAGGAGATTGTTGCTATTAGCTGTTCCTGGTGTAAATCAGCCTATCACAATAAAGAACCTTGTTTTAACTTGCATAAACTAGAAGAAGAGTGTACTCTGGGAATTCATGCTGACGCCATCGTCCCTCCATCTTGGATAGTCAAACTGCCACGGAAAGTGAGTACATATTTTATCATTAACTAGATTATTAGTTTATAAATAGTATCCGTTGGTTCCACGTGTTTGTGTCCGTGACTAACATATTTAGGTGATATACAAAGGTTGGTCAATGAATTGATTTCTCTTTTCGCTTATTTTAATGTATTTGCATGTAAGTGTGTATCTGTTACGAGTTTCATATACATTCTTTCTGATGTGAAATCTAAATTATAGACAGTGTGAGAATAAAGAAATAACGTAAGTAATAATGTAAATTATGTTAGGTGCGAACAAATACTAAGCAAGAAAATAAGAAATGAAACTGCTAAAATATGGAGCTTTGACCATTAAAAATTGGTTTATATGACATAGTTAAATAAAAACAAACTGTACTGAATTAAAACTGCTTAAAACTAACATACGAAAATTATAGATTGACGTGTTTTAAGGAGATTCGTATTCCCTCCAAAGTAAGGAAATCTGAAAGTATTAACTATAAAATGATGAACGTGGTATTTAGTTAAGATTTTAAGAAAACTAATGTCGTAATTCTTAAGAAGAATCAAAACGATCCAACACTTAAAACACCGAGACTTCATGTTATTTAATTATATTTTCGTAGAGAGACCTACTGTTTTTCTATTGTTTCTTCTTCATTGATTCTTCAACCAACCACTTTTCAATCGACCGCCCGTCCTTCATTTCTCGGCGGATTGACTTGAAACTTGGTAGGGTTATACGATAACTCAATAAGCCCAGACGTATTTTTTATTTTTATTTAGACCTTTTAAAGGATTTTATGGAGTCAAAGGTCAAACAATCCAAAAATGTATATTTTGGGCTCCTGTGCGGTCATATTTACAGCAATCAAGATGAAAATTGGCGCATATATAACTATTTATGCGTCCAACACATTGACGTACAAATGAGTTGGATTTGCCGATTTTGAGTCTTTTTTTGGGGGGGGGGGGGTCAGAGCTCACGAAAAAGCATAATTTTTGGGGTTTTGGTCAATTACTCTGCCATATTTTTGAACAATTTACATAGGACTTGGTACAAAGATACTTTTTTACAGGTTTTACACATTGGCAAACAAAAATGGTGGACTTGCTCATTTTGAATAATTATAGGTGGTCAAGATGTCACAAAAAGCATAATTTTAGTATTTTTTATAATTACTCCGCCTTATTTCAGCCAATTTATATGGGATCTGGTAAAAGTATACATTTTTTACAGGTACCATATATATATACTTACAAAAAGGTGGGATATGTTCATTTTGTTCATTTTACGGGGTGAAACGGTTAAATATGCTCATAATGTTAGGGGTTTTTGGTCAATTACTTAGCCTTCTTTCGACCAATTTACATGGGAATTGATACAAAGATACTCTTTGCAGATCACAAACAGAGATATAGACAATTTTGGAATTTTTCTCTTCTAGTTAATATTTCAGCGAGGAAAGTACAACTTGGGGTTTTCGTGAAATATTCGTGTCTATGTTAACCAACTTACGTGTGTATGTCAACCAACTTACATGTGTATATCAACCAACTTATATGCATATGTCAACCAACTTACATGGAATTTGGTACAGGTACTTTCAGGTTCCAAGCAGTGATATTGACAGTTTTCGATTTTTCTGTGTTTTTCACGATATATCTCGTGTCAAAATTGACCACGTTGGGATTGCGTGGCGAAGACATGATGCATTCGCCCGCGAATTTTGGCCTCTTTAATTATTTATATCCTTATTAGTAACTAAAATAGGCTATATGAAGTGTTTAATGCCAACATTTATTCTCCCTTGCATGTTGTACCATAAATGTGTAAAGAGTATATAAGGAACGTAAACAATTAATATAATACAAACTAGGAAAACTAGAAATTATTCCTTTGAAACAACCGATCCGACTTCAACAAATGAAATCCGGAAAGATATTATTGACTCTGTGGCATAACGTCCAGAATTACAACCAGAGATCCATCATAAGTAACTTTGAATAACATTAAATAGTTTAAGTCTCAGACATCATGCCAAACCAAGTCATAAGCGTTCTTAATATCTAAAAACACTGCAACAGTCGCATGGTTTTTAAAAACAATTCGAGAGGAACGACCCTAATGTTCGAAAGTCTACCCATATTCATACTAAATATAAAAACATTATTTTCAAAGAAAAAAAAAAGGCCGGCTAAATGTATAGTTTAAGTGGCTAATAGAACAACAGTTTTTAGGGTTGTTAAAGTGTTTAACGCTATTATGAATAAGCGTGTTGAAAGCAAACTTAAAATTAGAGATATATTATTCACCTCCAAGAGAAAACGTACACGTCACAGCTAACCGGGCCCGGCATGGCTAGGTGGTTTGGGCGCTTGACTCGGACTCTGAGGGTTGCGGGTTCGAATCCCTGTCCCCCCCAAACATGGTCGCCCTTTCAGCTGTGAGGGCGTTATTATGTGACAGTAAATCCCACTTTTCGTTGGTACAAGAGTTGGCGGTCGGTGGTGATGACTAGCTGCCTTTCTCTAGTCTTTCACTGCTAAATTGGAGATGGCTAGCGCAGATAACCCTAGTGTAGCTTTGCGCGAAATTCAAAACAACCAATGAAAACCTTACATTCACTAGCATCATGGCCGGATTAAGCTTAGTGGGGTTCTAGGCTTTGGGAATAATAATATTAATAACTCACTCTTGCCTCTATTCTATTAGTTTTTTTTTGTTTTTTTTTTACCTGGGTGGCCAGCGGGGCCTGGGCGTAGGTGGCTTACACGTTAATCCGGTACTGACTAGAATAAGTCACACTAAATAAAATCTATACAAAATAACAAAAAAGTGTTTAAAATGGTCATTAATATATTTGCAGCATTGACAGTTATGAAGATTTAAAGAATCGGGCAACAACATTTCTGTTAGTCTTTACAATCGAATGTGGTTGTAAATGTAGATTCGATCTATTATTAGGAATATGAGCGCAAAAACATTACCATTAATAATTGTTTTTCTTTTGAATAGTTTTTGGATTGCACTATTCTCTTTATTGATGTTTGGCTTGAATAAAAGATCAGTTTATTGATGTTTGGCTTGAATAAAGGATCAGCTCAATATTGATGATAGAATGAATTTTGTGGTTTATTTCAAAGTCATTAATATCGTAGTTAACAGAGAACATGAAAACAAAAGATTGTATGATGTTGGTAATCTTTCTAATACAGAGCTATTGGTTAAAGACATTAGCAGAAAAGTCAAAACGAAGTGAGCCTCCAAGTGGCACAGCGGTGCGTCTGCGGACTTACATCGCTAGAATCCGGGTTTCGATACCCGTGGTGGGCAGAGCACAGATAGTCCATTGTATAGCTTTGTGCTTAATTACAAACAAAACGAAGTGTGGATGATGCATCATCCATCTGCACGACTTCAGTTATTATTTGTTCAAAGAAACGGTCTTGGATATTAACGTTTTAATACTAAAATAATCCAAGTGTTTACAAAAATTAATATCTTCTTCTTCTGTATAATGATATTTTATGTAGGTACCAGGCAATATTGGGTAGTTTTGGACTATGTCAATTTAAACGATTACAGGATATGGGACGAACAGTGCCACTATTGTTTCTGTCTTTCTTTATAACGTGAAGTCGTTTTATCTTTTTCATAAATCCGCCACCAGTTTTCTTCAAATTGTTGTCTCGTTTATGTAGGGATCTTTTAAGTCATCTCTTCGCAGTTCGCCAAAGAAAATAGGATCACCAAAGAGAAAACCCAAAAAAGAGGTAAGACGTCAAATTATATTTGATGGTGATCAACACGAAAGAGTGTATGTTTGTTCTAAAAAAATATATACATGTTTTTCTGTATACTTATTTTTGGATTTTGGAAAAATTTAATCTACTTTTCGAAAGATGAAGTTTCAAATATGAAATTCTTATTTGGTTTATAAACCCCTTTTTAATGAGAAATCTAGTCTGTAGTCCAGACTGATTTTAATTGGGGAAAACAAAGCTTAAAGATTTTAACAATATTTGCTTCTCCGTTGTTAACCCAGTTTTCAAAATAGTAACAATAATATTCTATTTTCTATTTATGGAAAATCAAGTTGTATCCGTTGTTTGAAAATAATTTTATGAAGAGACTTTAAGATGTGTACATAATTAAAAGAGCAACGTGTGTACGTGCGTGGGAAGCTTTTTAAACTTCGTTAAACTATGAAAGAATGAAACTAAGAATAGGGAAGTACGGACGACGTCAGTAAATGCGTATAGGATGGTTGTAGAGCGTACTATGCATTGCAAAGGGAAAGGAGTTTGGATCTGTCATCTTTCAACCCATCTCATGCAGCAGTGTTTATGTGTTAAGGTTTTGTGTGTAAATTTCTTCATTTGTTTGTAGACAGTTAGAGTACCGGTACCGTCATTGTTTTGAAATTTAATACTTGCCCCTAATACCGAGGTTTTGAAATCATTGCTAAATCTGGTGTCTCTTACTATATAAGTCGATTGTTTTGTCAACATTTAACTCAAACACTTGAAATATTTAGTGGGTATCACATGTTGTAGAATAAGTTTAATCTTGTAGTCGTTGAGACGTCCCGCACGGCCTTCATTTCGTTAAGAACCCTACATACCTAACTTATTACGTGGGTAGTCTAGGCAGGTCGTCCCCTGCTGGAACAGTGGTAAGTCTACGGATTTACAACGCTAAAATCAGGGGTTCGATTCCCTCGGTGGATACAACAGTTAGCCCGATGTGGCTTTGCTATAATAAAAACACACTAGGCAGGTCACTTAATTGTTTTAATGATTTTAAATACACATCACTGCCTTTAAATTTATAAATTTTATGCATTCAAATACAAAAAAAAAATGTTCCGCACGCGAAGCACGAGTGTTCCCTCTAGTAACATGATAAGAAAATACTTTAATTGTACATTATATGTGGTTATATTATGGTTTTAAAAGCTGTACTTGATTTATCTGATATTTTAATGCACACTAATGTCTGGAGTCTTTACGGTCTAACACTATATCATTTTTTTTTAATTTTCTATTTATACGTAAGGGCGATTTTCTGGTCTAATTCAAATGGGTTGATTTTTAATTTGATGACAACAATTACGTTTCAAACAATCACTTGTAGAAAATTAAGTAAATGATAACTGATATTAGCGTAAACGAAACGAACCTCATTAGAAATCATGAAATAGATTAACAAAATATTTTCCACTTTTAATTAGCTGTACATTGATCTAGTTTAGCTTATTGTGACACCTTACATTTGAAAATCAACTGTAACAGTTGTGAAACTTTTACGCGGTGTCTTTAGTATAAGTCTGTTTACAACACGTTAACCAACTACACTAACAAGCCATAAGATGTATTGTACGAACAAGAATGTGAGTATTATATTGTTAGATTGGACGCATTCTGGTTGACAAGCAAATAATGCTTAAAACACATCCACCCCATAGAGACTTCAATGGAGAAGATTAAACAAGTTTTTTTTGTGTATGTGTGTGTGTATGGTTCCTGCTGGAACTATTAAATTGACTTATGTTATAATAGCCTTCTTCTTGTACGAACTAGTTCCAATTGAAATGTTAAACTAAGATTATTTCTTTGAAAATTATAAAGTAATATCAATGTAGAACAAAACTATAAAAATCCACCACTCAGAGGCTTTAATGAAGCTTTCGTTTGTATCAGATTGATAAGTACATGAGGTTAAGGAGACGTAGTTTACTTCAACAACAACAATCGAAATCTACGTTCGCATAAGGTATTCAGGTGCCATGACTTCCGATAGAGAACTATTAAGATTCGTAATAAGCAGCAGATTTCAGATACGTTAAGCAGATAATACATTAATGACGGATAGTAAAGGAAAATAAGTAAATACAAGTGTACAGATGAAACCAAATCCTCATTTGTATAACAAATCAAGTATTGCTAGGGTTCTAGTCAGGCTGTTTGGCTTGGTGGTCCTGTTATATGACTAGTTGACTCCTGAAGTAGACAAAGATATAGAGAGAAGAGCAGGAATGAAAATGATACTGCATTGTTACTGGCCAAAGTCTTAATTCAATACCCCATAATCCCAAATTGTATGTACTTCAATGATTAATCTTACTATGTATGTTCAAGGGAGCTATACTTCCCGCTCAAAGTAGTTGATAAAAACCACTGTATTGCACTTTAAATTTGAATATGGCCTGAACCGGAGGCTAGAGATGATACAGAATCAGGGTCAAACAAGCATAAGCTTTTACTGAGTGACCGTTTGCATTATAACTTTTGTCTAAGATTGAGTTGTAGCGCAAGCTTACGACCTTTTTCAACTTGTTAACAAATACGTTAACTAATTATATACAGAAAAGTTACATGAATAGTGAAATGTTGTTTTTTCTGAGTATGAAAGGATGAAATATAGCATTTTTTTTTCATCTATGAAACTCACGCTACAGTATTATTTGTATTTGTAAGCCTAGTGAATTACTTCTGAGCTATAAATGAACGTTATTGTAAATAATTCATGATTAATCGTGGATTACTCATCTTACGTGAAAGTTTGTACTGATTCTTAAAAACTCGATAGACCTTTATTTAAAATGTATACCATATTCTAAAACACGTTAATATCATACAATATACAAAAAATATAAGGATATTTTAAGATGCTGTGTTAAAACATTTGTTAAGTTACTGTAAACCGAGTCAAACTTTGTCAAAAATCTCGAGTCGACTATTTGATAAATCCTAATAACAGAAGCCGTTTCTTTGATACCTGTTCAGTCCAACATTATAAAATGCTGGTTGTTGCAAAGAACGTAGCAGTCGTAGTCTAAAATAACAAGGTGTAAAATCATCATTATTACTATGCATTTTTAAAGAGAAGTACGTTATAAACAAATGTGTCAAAGCGAAATATAGTTTATACGTAGTATATTAATATTATTTACTGAAAAACTGCCACTTTTTGCAATATTTACACTAATATAGTGGTTGAAAATTCTGAAAATATAACACTTAGTAAATTGATTGATTAAATATCTAAAATCGTATTTATTATAAATCAGCCAAAAGCCTCCCAGGTTCTCAACGGTAAGTGTGCATGCTTACAGCGTTAAAGATCTGGTTTCGATACCTGTAATGGGCAGAGCACAAATAGTTCGTTGTATAGCTTTCTGCTTAACAACGAAAAACAAATCACAGTCAAGATTGAACGAGGCTTAATACTATCAGCATTTCATGTTCATCTGCTATAAGTTACAAGAGCTCGTGCTCATGAGCATACAAACCAAAGATGCTTGCATTGGTTGTGAACAGTACTAATTAATGATTTTTATCATTAACCCATTAACTGCTGCAGGAGCAGCTCAGTTGCCGTTTTCTGACTCACAAAAAAAAACTGAGTTGCCATCAATCACAATAAAACGGTAATTATCGTCTTTCGCATAGAGTTATAGTTATATATGTGCGACTGACGGATATTTCCGTCATTCGCAGCTGGGCCACAGAACTTCAATGACGGAAATATCCGTCGTCCGCAGTTAATGGGTTAAGGTAATTCATGAGTTTAACCTTGTTGTCTGGTATATGCTACTTAAGTATAAGTAAAAATCGAAAAAAAGTTAGCAAGATACAAAATAGGGTTGACACATTTTCTACGAAATTAATATATATACTCTCGAATTAATTAACTCTGTTACGAAGTCTGTTAAAACAAGTAGCAAATCAGAACTATAGTAACATAATTTATCTTACTTTAAACAAAAATAACGAAATACAAGACATTGGGAACTAACTTTCCTTTTCTCAACTAAACCAAATTAACTAGTAAACAAAACATAACCAGAATCCTCTATTTCATCACTTTCAATTTGTTTTTATGTTATATTGATCATTTCTGTTTATAAATCAGCCAATTTTAGCAGAATATGTTTCTATCAGTCAGTCGGATCTATTCGACTCCACTCATAATATAAATACTGTCGACTCCGTTCTGGGTATCTTTACTATAAATAGTAATCACAACACTTATGGGGAGTTGCTAGGTTACAGACGATGTTGGAACATCCATGCTCCTAAAGTCTCCAGAACACACTACTTCGCCTGTAATGAAACGTATATTGTTTGCTTGTAGTTTGTAGTTACCATGTGTTGGAGAGATTATGAATAGAACGTCTTGGTACATGTACGTTATTGATTTTACGCCACCTTTTTCTTCTTTTTTGTACTAGTTGTGTTTTGTGATACGTCAACCTTCTTATAAGAGTAGTTTCATGACAAAATGGTAACCGTCTATAAAATGTTACCACTGTTTAATTCGATATCAGTCACCAGTTATAGGAATGAAATAAAAACATTATAATAATAAAGTTATACATTTTAAGAATATCTATTTTGTAATAACTCTAGACATAAAACTGTTTCTAAGGTTGTTGTTAATCCATACTCATTGGCCTATTTACCAAAAAGTATGGAGAAATATTACAAATGATTCAACTGAAAATAAAGCTGTTTGTATGAAACTACCAGAGGAACTTTGAGCCGTTTCAAGTGTCAATAGAAATTAATCCTGTGACCAATAGGAAATTAATTATTCTTATGGATAGGCATTAATGTTCGTTGTAATTCTGAATTCTCTCTACTATATTAGAGATTTTTGAATAAGATTTTACTGTTTCGACCAACTCGAGTAGTTATAGTAATTGCTGTAACTGTAGTGTTTCAGGGCTCACAAGATTAACGAAGAAGTGGAGGTTTTACATGGATGA